ATTAATTGCAAAATCAAACAATGGGAGTCAACGGGAGCTCCCTGAATAGAGCCGGCCAACGGATGATGGCAATAAAAAAGTAAGAAATAGCTCAGAATAATAACAACAAGAGTAAAAGCCGCAGCAGCAGCCGCAGCCACATCAGCAACATGGCCAAATTGCTTCATTGTGGCAGCAGCTGGTAAACAGACGACGACTTCCAATTCCTATAATCGAATCGAGTCGAGTCGAAGCGAATGGAACGGAAAGAGACGAGCACAAGTCAAACGAGATGTGGCCGCAATGTAATCAATGGGGAAATTACAATGCAGAAAGCAACTGGAGAGCTGAGGGGCTGGGGAGCTGAGCAGAGATGAAGCCAAATGTAAACAACTAAATGCCGCCACATAGCAATGGGAGCAGCAGCAACAGCAACAGCAGCAGCAGCAACACAGGCAACCAGCAACATGTTGCTGCTGTGTTTAATGTTGTCAACGCGTCAGACTAACCCACACACACACACACACACACACACTGAGGCAGACACATAAATCAGCAGCTAATGCAACAGGGCACAAAAACAATGGCTGAGACAGAGACATCTTCGATTGCAACAAGCTGAGCTATACCCTAGCTGCAAATGGGCATTACGAAGTTCTTAAAGAAGTTGACATTACATGAATACACTTTTTTACTGGAAACGTTCCATCATCCATCTACATTTATAAATAAATATTTTAATATTAATCATATTTAGTATCTAGCAATCTTTAAGCCTCAAGTTCTTATAGCTTGGCTCTTTAGTCTTCATTCTTTGATATCTTTTGGGTTCGGATATTTAGTGGTTTCTACCTGATATCTATAGGGATCATGTCTAGTGCCTAACATCTGGTATGCCTTACAGTATCTAGTACCGTAATACCCTAGTTTTACTCCTTATCATTTAGTGTCTGGTCAGACACTAGATACCATAACGCATATCGCACTTCTTATGCTAGTTAGGGTATTTAATTGTGCACCACCCGCCGCTGGCATATTTTTTCTGCGATTTCCTGCAATGATATTTCCCGTGCTGCATTTATGGCATATTGACATTTGGCAAATGTCAAAAAGCGGCCTTTGTTTGCATTGTTCAACTGTCTAGCTGCCTATCTCTGTCCCACTCCACTCTCTGCCACCCTCTCCCTCCCGCTCTCCCCTTCTCTCTGGCATTGTCTAGTTATCTTTTTTATTGACTGCGAATTGTCAGCCTGTGCTGGCCTACAACTATTCTGCATTGCCATTCATCATACCAACACCTTTAACTTAACAACAGCAATTGCAACAGCAACAACCTGCAAATTATGCGCCATGCGTGGGCCGGCAACACACCCACTCACGCACGTGTTGCGGCAACATGTTGCCAGCTGTGCAGCCGCTGTCAACCTATTAGGGTCACTCGAAAGCCATAGCCCGCTCGGGAAGCCTAAATCTGTGCTCAAATATTGTCGTCATTCTAGCAACTGTTGCTGTTGCTGTTGCAACTTGGCTAAATTTAGCGTCTAATGCGATTTGTAATAGCTGCGCTAAATTGTGAACATTGCTGCTGCTGCTGCTGCTGCTGCGGCACCAGGAAATGTTTTCTATAACAGCAACAACAACAACAACTGCAGCAGCAGCAGCAGCAATGCTGGTAATAATATTGTTGCTGCAGCGGGTGCTGCTGTTGTCATCGCATACTTTTGCACTGCGTTTGTGTGGCAAAAAGCTGGGCATGTTGCAAGTTGTTGCTGCTGCTTTCATATGACTTGGACGTTTTCATGTAGCTGCGGGTTGTCAACGCTTTAGCTGTTGCTGCTGCCGTTGCTGTTGCTGCCTATGTCTGCAATATATTTGCATTGATGTTGCTGTTGAATGCATTGCAAATGCAAGCTAATTTCTTTATTATTGAATAGATCTTTAGAGATTTATAGCTCTATAGAAATATTTTGATTTAAGCTTAGTTTAATCACGTTTGGCTTTCGATCTACAATACTCGTTTGTTTACATTTGTCACTTCAATAAGACAATAGAAACATGGGATCACTTTGCCTTTGATATAATATTCTATTAATAAACGGTACACTGAGCAAAAAGGTTGTTGTTTGCTTAAGTTTATGACAAGTTTAAAGTACATATCATCTAATAGATCTATAGAGTATTTAATTTTAAGTATATGCAAGTAATTGCCAACTCCAAGTTGGCTAAAGAGAAGCTACTGCACCATTCTAGGTATCTAATTTCCCTAAGTGTACAAAGTGACAAAGCAATTGATCAAGTGGCTCTTAACTGAGCTGTCAGCTATGTATATGTAATTTCCAATGTTTGTTTGCTTTGTAGGTAGATATATGGGCATGCATTACACTAACAACAATTTCCAGCTGCAGCTCACGTTTTTGTTTTCTTCTCGTTGCCTGATTGCACGACAATTACACGCCCCCTGCGAGCGAACGAACGTAATATGTTAATAGAGTTAAGCTCCACATCGATGACATGAAAGCGTTTAGTGATAATTAAATGTTGGCGTGTGGGAAATTCATAATTTCAAATAAAGATAGAGAGAAAGAGAGAGAGAGAGAGCGGGAGAGGGAGAGGGAGAGGGAGGGAGAATAAAAAACAGTAGCCACACAAAATTTCCCACACATATTTTAAGCACAGAGAAACACAAAAACTTATCGAGCAATCACATTTCGAGTTGTTTTTCGTGTTGGTAAAATAAAAATATTACAAAAGGAACTAAAGTTCTCTGGAAAAAGAAACAGTGAGAGAGAGAGACAGAGAAAATGACATGAGAATTGTGACAGAACGAAAGATTGCGTGTTGCTGTTGCTGTTAGTGTGGTTTCACTGTACGTGGCCGATGTTTATCTCGCGTCCTAATGATAGTTTTAGCACAGAGCGAAGCTCAGCTCAGCTCGGGGCAAATGAGGTGCTAAGCTGGCAACATACAACAACAACAACAACTAGCTACAACTACAACATTTCACGTCACGTGTCCAACTGCGCAGCCACGCCCCCCTACGCCCGTCGCCCGCCTGCCGCATTCGTTTCGCGTGAAGTGCGTTGCGATAAACTTGAACTTAATTTCCAGCTAAAGCAAAAGAAGCAGTCGAAGGCAGTCAGGCAACAAAGGAAAGAACCGCCAGACAAAGCAACAACAAGGGGAAGGCGTTGCCACCTTTTTGATGGGATCTCTCTCTGTCTGTGTGTGTGTCTGTAAATGCATTTTGCATAATAAGTTCATAAATTGTAGGCCCGACAGAGCCAACCTATCTGAGCTGTGGGCGAAGGCAGCCAAAGAGAAGTTGAACTGGAATAAGCTGAGAAAAAAGGTTTACTGGCTTTCTTTAGCTTGTCATTCGATTTTATTGGATTGAGTTAAATATGAATATGTTTAGCTGAACGGATTGGATTTATTTTAGTAAATCAAGAGAACAGATTGAATTTATTTTATTGGAATTATTTTAGTTAATCTAGAGATCTAAATGCGGGTACTAAGCCCATTCAGCTGAGTTGATTTCAATTTGGATTTCTGGCATTTGTTTATCATCAAATTGACTTGTAGTGTCCATTTTCGTTCGCCTTCACTTTGTTTGTCTGGCCCAATTACACCTGCTGCTGCGCGTTCAAAGGTAAACTCGCTGGGCTGAAGATCTGTTGATGCCTTCTGGAATGTAAACAAACTAATCTAAAGGCGCCTCGCACAAGTGTTTGAAAAGCTGCCAAATACTCCATAAATCATGTCTAGATACCCTGGAACTGTAAAGAAGGGTAGAGTAGGCTAGAGGTAGTACTGAATAACATACCTTAAAAATAGCTTAAGCAACTTAAGAGCAGTTCTTTAGATAGTCAAATTCCCCTCGGAAAACTAAATTTTCTCCAACCTCTTTTATTTTTCTCTCACTAGCTAAAGTCGGCAAGAGGTTTTAGCATGATATGGAAATTCCAAACGACTTTTGCTTATGTATAATCTCTAGCTTCATTAGAACTATACAAATCTATAGGGTATTCAAATTGTTAGCATCCAAACTCTACCTGTTCTTTCATCTTTGTATCTACGGAACTTGGTCATGTAGCAGACTCTTAATAGAAGCAAACTATTTGCTGCTGACCTTCAGCAGACGTCGTTAACATGGAATTCCGATGCCCCCGAGGCACAAATTACATTGAAGATTACGCAAATCGGGAGGGAAACATGTTAGGCATTAAAAATTTTACAGTTTGCGATGGGCTAATAATGAAATTTTCAAATTTTTATGAGCTGCAAAAGCAGATGATGTTCTGAATGAATGTAAAGGGGAATGGGATGCTGGGGCTACGAAGGGTAGCCAAGGTCAACGGAGGTTAAGCTGCCAACTATTTAGCTGCTTTCCCAAATGTTGAGCACTTGTGTTTTTCGTGTTAATTTTCAAGAGGCTTCAAGGCCCGCCCTCGCATTAGATGAGTGCGCGCCGCCTCCTCCCACAGCCACCCACATGACGTGTGCTTTTCCTCAGCCGCCTGCTGCTCATTGCTTTTCTTTTTCACTTTTTCGGATTATCTATCATCTGTCTGGGCAACTGCTTGTCGTGTTTTCTTTTTGTTACTTTTCATATATATTTTATGTCTGTTTGTCTGGCACTTGGCCCCAGCCACGGCGCAGCAATTGAAAGCAATTATAACATATGCGAAGAAGGAAACTCGCAACAGTCATCGCGTTACGTGATGGGAAATTGTGTTGGAAATGTGTGAAAATTGTGAAAATGCGACTGACCAGCGGCTGCTTGAGCAATATTTATGCTTTCCTCAGATCCAAATCAAGTTGGCCAATTAAAAACTGAAATTCATATTGCAGAGAAAATGAGCGAGTGGTCGAACTTGTATATACCCTGTAAACTTGGATTATATGAGAAAATACTGTAGGCAGATTATATATAGCTTAGCTAGCTGTATCTCTAAACTAGCAACACCTTCTCTTTCACTCAATACTCATTACCTCAACCTCTCTATTCGCTTCTCATACAGAACGGTTTGGATGACGACGACGACACCGAAGACGATTCGTTCGGCTACGAGGGCGAAGACGGCGACGCAGCCACCGAGGACGATCTGAACGAGGCCGTTTCCGATTTGGATTTGGAGTGCGAGAGTGCGCCCAGCCATAACTCGACGGAGCTCTTGCAGCGCTGTCAGCTAACTGCCACGGAGATCGTCGTTGCCAGCGTCCAAGCTGAGGATCAGTCACGCGATTGTATCGCAACCCAAAAGGTAGGCAGAACCAAATACATTTGCATATATGCCAAATTTGTGCGCAGAGTCTGCGCGTTGTCCTCCTCTTGTATGTTTGTTCGTTTGTAGTTGTTGTGTCTGTCGTTATTGCTAGTTAGAATACATAGTAGTGCATGCCTTCTACAGTATTGTCAACTTACTTCGAGCCTAAAAAACCTAACCCTCAACCTATTATTCCTAACTCCAAAATTGTAAACCAACAGCCGAGAACTTGAGCTGGCAAATGAAGCGAGCCTAACGATTTGACCTTTGCGATAAATGACTTGATGCTTGCTTGACCCTAACAGTTATGTCAGCCTTTAAGGTACCAAAAAGAAGAAAATTATATTCTATCAGTAATGAGTGTGCATTAAAGCATATTACTTATAGATCTTAAATATTTGAATAGAGTTGGCAGCTCTGAACAGCTTTCGGGGACTCCAAAGTACAAACTCAGAAAAGGAAATAGCTCAAGAAATACTGTTAAATGCAGAATGAAAAGCTCTGCTACCCAAGTTGCCTCTGGCAGCAGTGTCAACATCTTCATTCGAATTACTCGAATTCGTATTATTTTAAATGATTTAACATGAATCAATTTAGTTGTCATCCCTGAATTTCCGTTTTATGTGCAACTGTCAGCTCTTGCATATACCCAACCCCACCCAACCAAACCCAAAATGTCTAAAAGGTATGAAGTGCTTCCCTTAAGAGTCCCAATCCAGTCACAAAACTCCAACCGAGTTGGCAGCACTGCAGCAGCATGCAAATATTCTTATCGTCCATGTGTGTGTGTATGTGTGAGTCTGAGTTTGCCTGAGCCTTACTCTAACTGCCTGCCAATGCATTTGCCTAACCAATCTCTGTTCCACACACACAAACACAAACCAACACCCGAAACCGAACGCAGCCTGGTGACGAGGCGGACGAGGAAGACGACGACGACGCCGACGTTGTTGACTTTGTGATTGCCAAGCGAGCCTGGCGACCGGGCAAAAGTAACCACCACCACAACCACCTCAGCCACAGCAGCAACTCGGCGGCTGGAGCGGCTACGCTCACCGACTTTGAGGCAGACTCCGAGAGCAGCGATCTGGAGCAAGTGCAGCAGCTGAGGCGAGGCGGAGGCGCCTGCTGTAGTGGTATCTCCTTCAATCAGCGCTTGGCTCAGCTGACGGCGGGTCATCTGAATATGTCGCACGCCATCAACAGCAGCAGCAGCATCAACTGCAACGGCAACGCCAACGCCAGCGGCAATCCAAACGGCAGTGGCAGCGGCAGCAGCTCGACGCCAAATTTATCAAATTTGTCGCTGCTGCAGACGCGACACGGCAACAAAATGTTGCCGCCCCAATGCCACAGCAGCCACAACGGCAAGTCGAAGAGCATTGCCGTCGCGGTGATTACGCCGAACACACACCACAGCAATGGGCATGTCCATAATGGGCATGGTCACGGCCACGGCCAYGGCCACGACCTGAACAAGTCGCCGACGGTGCTGAGAAAGTCGCAGATGCATCGCAGTCATAATGACACCTCCAAGTTCAATCGATCCAATCGCAAGTCCAAGAACTGCGCCATTTTCTACTTCAAGCACTTGGACACGGACAATGAGACGAGCGGCGCCGGCACCGACCCGGCTGGAGAGGACCATGAGGTGGAACGTGCCAGCGAAGTAAGTACCGCTAGCAGCCAGGGTGAACGGTCTTTCATGGTGGTGTTGGTATCGACTCTCTAGCCCAATCATCAGCCAAAGCGAATTCGTTGCGGTTATCGACTTATCGACAATCGACAAAAACAAAACAAAAATGAAAACCCATGCCGAATGCATTCAATTTGCATGAGTTTTGCATGTGTTAAATTGTTTTTCTCTCTCTTTATATCCGAAAACTAACCATATATAAATATATATTTATAATTGTTTATATACATTTTCTCTAGTCTCTGGCATGCCTAACAATTTCTTAATTAACTTTTGCTGCTCATTATCTGGTAGCCCATACATAATAATGCTACATCATTAATCATTAATCATTAAACGACTTTCAGCCCGCGCCTGGGGGGCTATAGTTAGTCGACTCATGTCAGAGTTCAGCCAGTTCTTTAGCCTCTTCCATGTAGTTCCGTGTTTTCTATTTGTCTGCTTTTCCATGAACTTGAGCTTTGAGTTCATAATGAAAGTTTGCTTGTGCAAAGTTGAGCTAGGTTACCTAATCAAGGCATAGTAGAAAAAGCTCAGAAATTGATTAATTATATAAATGACCTAAACCCTTGGGCAACTGAAGAAGCTGATGGAAACAAGTTAGAACTTATAAACTGCTCGTTAGCGAAGCGATCTGTGAGAGATCTCTGAGATAGGTAATAGGGGTAATAGTACCTATTGACATTAAAGTAGAGCGTATTAGGTAGAGTGAAGAAAAGAAAAGAAGCTGGAAGTCGTTTACTTCTGAGACATCGTACTTATATGTATGTCAAAGTACTCGATGTACAAAAATATCATATCGTATCAAGTTTCAGACTTCTATGTAGCTTTTCCTGATAAGTTCTATCAGTTTCTTTAATTAAAAACTTTTGCTTGAGGAATTTTGAAATTAATTTAATAGAAATGAAATTCAGTTATTCGAATGACAAGTGGGAGTCGGCGTAGCTGAGACCTGTGTGCACCTGTTGCTGCTGCAGCTCCTGCAACAGCTGCTGTTGCCGTTTGCTGTTGCTCTTTGCTCCTCGGAGCTGTAAGCCAAGTGATGAGTGCATTGGCTGCATGCAAAGCCTAAGGTCACCGAGACAAACCAAACGAAACGTCACAGCATTAATATAAATTGCAAACAGAGAAAACTACAACAGCAACAGCAGCAGCAGCAGCAGCAGCAACAACAACAGACAGCCATTTGTTAGAGGGCGGCACGGCGGCAACTCCTACTCTGAGCAGAGGTCGCAGCGAGCCATGGCCGTGCTGGCAGAGGCAACCGGCACTTGAGGCGAGCTCAAAAGATTTTTGCCACTCAGCAGCAGCAACAACAATTTGTAGCTGCAATTGTTGGTGTTGCTGGCGCTGATGCTGGTGCTGTTGCTGTGACTACAAGTTACAATTTGCCATTTTGCGCAAGTAACGCTAATTAAACTTCATTTTCTACTACTTCATCTTCATCGCGCTGTGCCACAGTCGGAGCCGCAGCTGAAGCCTGCAACTTTGACGTGGGCCCACACAGTTTTTGCTTTTGCTTCTGCTTCTGCTTTATTTGTGTATTGCATACTGAGTTTTTGCTTGAACCTTCCTTTAGATACTGAAATCGGCTGATGCCTCATCGGATGACGACGACGAGGGTTGGCTCTACACGGCAGCAACGGGCGCAGCAGCAACTGTTACTGCTGCAGCAGCAACATCCACCGTCGATGGTCTGCAGTCGGCTGCCATCTCATCGACAACGTCTGGCGCCGTGGCTGGAGTCAGCGACGACTCTGATAAGGAGAACAAGGAGTTGCTGTTGACCACGTCGGCAACAGCAACAGTCGCAGCAACAACAGCAGCAGCAATAACCGCAACTGTTGTTGCTGTCGGCGGCAGCAGCAGCAACTACGACAGCAGCAGCGCCTGCTCCTCGTCCAATTCGAACGGTGTCCATACGGAGACCTCGGCCACCTCACGGGTTACCCAAATGCAGCGCAGCATTGTCGACATGGACATTCAGTTTCAAATCAATGGCAGCGCCAGCGATGGCAGCAACAGCAACAGCAACAGCAACATGAGACACATCATTAGCAACAATTGCTACAAACAAATGCAGTGCGACAGCGACAACAACAACACCCCTCAGCAACAGCAGCAGCAGCAACTGAATGCCAACAATAATAATCACAAGCAACAACAACAACAACAACACCAMCAACAGTTGCGCTTTGACTCTAAGCAACTGCAACAGCAACTGAAGCTGAATCTGGAGAACGCTGCCGAGGCAACTGTTGCTGATAACACAAATGGAAATGCAGCACAGGTGAGTAGAGCGTCAAGTGTTGGATCGAGCCAATATTATCTATACTGAATTGACTAGTATAAATATAAATGAAGATAGACAGAGGGTTACATGAAAGGAGATAGATATGGGTTTCGGTTGAAATTGGGTGAAGAAATAGCTAGGATATAGTTGAAAGAGGCATAACATAGACGGTCCTTAGCTATAAGAGAAGATGAAAAAGGTCTTCTATTACAGCTAAACAGGTTGCCTGTAACAGATGGTAGTAGATGAAATAGGAGTAGTTTAAGAAAGTCAATAACTAAAGTTGTTCTCTTGAGAGATCTGGTGAGCTATCGCTTAGACTGACCAAGTCTAAGACCGTAGCAATCCCAGTTATCCCAGCTCTTAAGCGACTACCAATTTGCGTAGGATTCATCAGTATATTCGAGGACTTAATTGTCTAGCAGTAGGATACCTAGTGGTTCTAGCCATAACTAGACAAACTAAACACTATCGCAATGTACTTGGTAATATCTCCTGCTGCTGCACAGCTTGAAACTGAATGTCAATTGGTTGCATGATGTTCATTACCATAACGAGAGTTGATTTAACTTTAATCTTTCATCCGTTCATTTATTTGCTAATAGCCTGCCACATAGAGCTGGCTAATAAGACAAGAGCTGAGCTGAGCTGAGCTGGGCTGAGAACTCGAGTGTTGTTATGCCCTAACCATTTATGTGTAGACCACAAAAATTTCAAAATTCGCTAACACAAATCTCAGACAGCAGGCAGAAGGCAGCAGACCAAAGGCAGCAAAGTGTGCAACAGCAACGTGCCACACAGGTTCCCACAGTCTCGGACTTTTCCGCTGCAGTTTGAGTTTCATTCGATTTCAATTCGATCGCTGACTTGCTGTCTGTCTGCCAAGTGGAGTCTCTCCCTCTCCCTCTCCCTCTCTCTCTCTCTCTCTCTCTCTCTCTGTCTATCGTTGACTTGTGTCAATAAAGTTGCTGCTTTGTTGGTTGTTGGTTGCAACTTTGTTTGCCATTAGCCCAAAAGCGAGTAGTTTAAACGGGGCGGGGGACAGGACAGGAGGCGACTAGGGCGGAGGGGTGAGTAGAGGCAGCTTTTCAATAAATGGCTACCGCCTCTTTTTCCTATTGCGCTGCCTTCTGGTTTCCCCTGCACCTGATGATTAAGCAGTTGGGTTAATGAAAGCGAATCATGCAGCCGCGGCCCGATCGACTCCCGTCCCGGCAGCAGCTGCCATTCAAAATTGATGCCCAACTATCGACTCCCGACTGCTGCCGCTGCTGGGCTGCTCTGACTGTCAGTCAGTCAGCCAGCCAGGCAGAGAGACAGGCAGGCAGGCAGGCAGGCAGGCAGACGGACGGACAGTCAGTCAGTCAGAGCTGGCGATAGTCCAGGAAAAACTGAGCAGCGCACGTCAAAAATGGGAAAGTACGAAATTAACTAAAAACGTGTGATTTATTTCTTCATTGCGGCATACAAAACTATCAAGAAACAAAAGCAACTCAAGACGACCGAGTGCTCCAGTCGGGAGTGACTGGCGCAAAGATACCCTTCTGTTGCACAAAGTGTAAAGTATTCATGATGAATAGGAATTGTGGCGGCTCTGCCTCTCTCTCTGTGATAGCTTAACTTAGAGTATCCACTGTACCCATTGCCTGCATTTTCATTAAGTACAGGGTATAGATAGAAAAGAGACTTAGCACACAGTTTGTGCAATTGAAAGGGTCCACAGCGAGACAGTTGAGACAGAGGACAGACGGCGCTGCTGCTGCTGCGGCTGCTGCAACGAGGACACGTTCGACCGGGCCAGATTTATGGATATATTGGTGGCAGGCACATTGTAATAGAGCCATGCAACACGAAGCAAAGGCAGCAGCAGCAGCAGCAGCAGCAGGAAATGGCTCTGCGTTCAGCTGATTGATTATGGGACAGAGGCATTCGCTTTGCCTGACAACCTTAATTAAAACAACTTTTTGGTTACCTTTACAGCTGCTCTGCCACAACCACAACAACAACAACAACAACAGCAGCAGTTTCTATAGTCGCGCAGACATCTGCAACATCAGCGTTTGGCCCAGCGACATGACCAATGGGAACTCGAGTCCAACTGCCCAGCAGAACGGAGGCAGTCGCCTGCCGCCTCGCTCGCCCGCCAAGTCGGCCAAGTCCGGCAAATCGCAGGCGAGCAGCAGCAATGCGACTATGTCGCCAGCTAAGGTAAGTCGAGAGCTTAGTCTAACTCTCTCAATCTCTATTTCTTTCTTCGACTCTTCCCCTCTCCCTTGAGCATTTGTCATTGCTATAAAACTCTGTAAAGGAAGCGGAAACACTTCCTGCGCTTCGTTTGTGTCCAGTCACAGCTAGAGAAATGAATGTCTTCTAATTGACTTTCTCTAAGTCGCACGCTGACCAAACCAATTTTGATTTATATTAAGTTGAGACGCGGTGAAAACTCAACTAAGAGCATAGAGTGCTCTACCCCCTAGTCCCCACAGCTAGGCAACTAGAGTCTATTTCTGCTTCTATCTACATATATTTCAGTTCTCATCTTCTACAACTATAAAGGTAATCTTTTTTCTCTCAGTGTAGTCTCTCTCTCTTCTAGAGACAGCTTCATCTTGGATCGAAGTTTCTTTCCTGCAACTTCCATTCAGTTTCTCTCAGTGTAGACTGCCCACAACTCGAGTGCGCTGTGTTTTCCCTTTCATCGACACACTATAAGAGAGAAATATATAGATTCACGGTACTTTGCAATTTGTCATCTTGTTGTGGCAGCCGCGCTGCGCCGAGTCGGAGACATTGCGTGTCGCGCGTTCGCACAACCGTGACCATGATCGCTCGAGAGCCTGGAGGGAGAGCTGAACTGAGCTGAGCTGGGCCGCTGCTCTGCTCTGGCATTATGTATAACGGTTCGACGGCTCCTCTTTGTTGATGTTGTTGTTGTTGAGTTGGGCTCTCATGGTTTCAGTTTCGCTTGAAATGCACACGAGCTGCGACTGCGATCGATTCGATCGATACAGTTGAACCACTTTGTTGGTAGTCCGACTATCGGTCCGGTGGTCCAGTGGTCCAGTGGTGCGTGTGTCTGCCTGAATTCGCCTCGAATTTCTCTAAGCTCTTTTTGTGGCTTTTTCGTGTCAATTTGCTGGTAAACATGTCCAGCAAACATGTCCAATGACAAGTTGCCGCACTGTAATGGGCTGTAAACGATCATCTTTGTAATTCGAGAGACTCATCGAAGTTATTTTTGTGAAAACCAGCGGGTGGAAATCAAAAGGCCGCCAACTGCCGAGTGTTACAAGTGTTTGGCAAAATGAAAGCAAAGTGGAAAATGTCTCGGAAATAGTTGCTAAATTGGCAAAACAATTTGTTAATAAGCAAGCTGTTGATATCTGCTATATGGCTATGGTTGAGCTGGTTGAAAATGTAGCGAAATATAATTGGATAAATTGCAGTTAATTAATGTTTTCTGAATAGGCATATTAAAATCATGGGAAATCTATGAAGTCATTGCAGAAGGCAGGAGAAGACGTGGCAGATCTCATAAAATTGGTGTAGAACAATTTGAGTAGATCTGTGTATAAATCAGGGTCACTTTTAGTAAAGCAATCCCTACCAGAACAGTCTTAAAAGTTAATAAGAGATGATGGTGCAAATATTCAAAAGAGTCCAACACATTGCAATATCAACTGCTGAGACTTATCAGATGAAGTATGACAAATCAGTTAAATCCCGCTTGAAGGCCATTAAAATGAACTCTTGCAGCTAAAAATCATAATTGAGGAAACTGCAAATATATTTATTTTTGAATTTTAACGATGCTCAATCAATTTTTACTATCATAAGTAAAATATGCAATTATAGCAAACAACTATAGCCAAAAGCAACATTACTTTCATATGCCAGACAGGCATCGACATCCGCTTCGAGCCGCTTTAGAACTTTACAGCGCTGTTTCACACGAGTTTTATGAACCGATTTAACTGTCTTGCTGGCTCAGCTGCTCTCTTGGAGTAAATCTTGTATTAATGTGCATTTCCTTCAAACAAACACTCTATAAAGACTCTTCTATGCGCTTCTCATCTGCATCGTAAAGCAAGCCCTCCACAAACACCTCTCTTTGCGCTTCTCACAATGTGTCGTGTGCCTGCTCTTTGGTTGTTATTGAAGCAATTATTAACTGGCTGGACATGGGCAAATGTCTGCTTGTTGTTGTTGTTGCTGCTCAACTCTCACTTTTATTTGGCCAGACACATCAGCAACATGTTGCTCGTCTCTCTCTATGTGTGTGTGTGTGTGTGCGTCATTTGCATTTGTCGCTGACAACTCGATTGCAATGGCAATGGCACAGCTCTGCTCAGTCTCAGTCTCAGTCTCAGCTCCAGCTCCAGCCCGAGCTCCATCGCACGCACTGTTTTCACTGTCCCTCAGGCAGCGACATCTCCAGAGTTTCCTCCCCTGTGTTGCGTTGCGTGCGTTGATTTATTGAGAGTGAAATTCGCGATGCTTTGATTAATATTGACAAATTTCGCAAGTTGAGATTTATTTATATGTATATATATATAAATATATGTATTTGTATTGGTTTAATTTATGTGCGATAAGCAATCGAGCTCGCAGGCTGATAAAACCGAACATCAATGACGTACACTGCGCTAAAATCGAACTAATCTAATCTAATCTTATCGYATCGAGCAGCTCGAATTGAGTTGTTAACAAAAATTAAAAGAAAGCTAAAATCACATTAGAAATTGTGAGCAATAAAGGCCGCACAGTTATCGATGACACACGCAGATCGATCACACTGAGTCGATAGTTTTTTTCGACAGCTTTTTTATCTAATCTCGTTGCACTGTGCGAAAATCATTATCAGCTAAAATATTCGCTGGCAAAACTTTCAGTACGTTTCGCAGAGTCATAGACGCCGGTTGTGCTACAGATACAGATACAGATACAGCGACAACAACAATAGATACAATTGCATGGATACACTGTTACAAAAAGATACAAAACAATAGAAAGCCACAAAGCTAGGCTGCATTAGTTTAGCTACAATTGCAATTGTTATTGTTATTGTTATTGTTTTTATTGTTAACTTGTTGTCTGATTTTTTGCGTAATTTGCATTTCAAATTGTGAGTGTGTGTGTTTCTTTTTTTGTGTAATTAAGTGCGCGCAGTGCTTGTCAAACTGCGCGATTAAATTTCGCGATTTGCGAGCTGCGTGCCGCAGTGCAATTAAATTGGCCAAACGACGATTGTCAAGGCTGCCAAAAAAAAAAAAAAAACATTAAAAAAACACAAAAATAAAAAAAAATTTTAAGCTTGAGCTGTCTGCAGACATTTGAACAGTTTGTCAGCCACTGTGTTTACTAAATCCGCCCTAGAGATGGCAGCGTGAGCAACTATAACTGAGTGTAAAGCAAAGAATTGTGAGCATCAATTAAGTAAGTTATGTGCATCAAATTATATTATTAAATTGATTGAAGAACACAGATATGTGTTAAACTATCGGTTTACTAAACACACACTATCGCATACAAGTTAAATGTGATTTAGACTTGACTTTGGCTTCTGTAATTGGTTGTCATTAAACTAAAATTCCTTGAGCTTATTTAACTCCGTAAGGAACTATCGTACAAATTTATGAGCTGAAATAAAAAGCATGTGAAAACTCTACAACTACAGCACAAACTATCGCTCAGCTACCGCTTAACTATCGTCAACATAATAATAGAAGCTTAGTTAAAGACTTTAGCTTAAGTCTACAAGCAGTTCCTAGAATCTCTACAGACTCTACTGCCCACTATCGTTTGACTATCGTCTCGATTCCCTAAGAGCTGCCAGCTTTAGTTGAGCACAGTGAGCAAAGTTTCCAGTTTGTTCGCTTAATTGGCCAATAGCTAAGCAAAAAGCCAAACTCCATATAATTGCCTTTAATTATCGCAAACGCCCAATCGCAGAGGCCTTTCAATTGTTGCTGTTGCTGTTGTTGGTTTTGGTTTTTAGTGCCGCTTGCAGCAGCTGTTGCTGCTGTCGTTGCTGTCGCTGTTGCTGCTGCAACTCCGTAAAACGTTCAGCATTTGCACATTTGGTAAAAATTGTTTCCGTTTGCAGCGCGGCGCGTAGTTGGACAGCCGCAGTGCTGCTCAAACTGTTTAGAGTGGCCTGTCCACAGGAAACTGTTAATTAAATTAAGCCAAAAGATTAGCAATAAAGTTGAAGCGTGTGTTCAACACAGACGACACACAGCTTGACTTTCGGAGCGAGAGAGTGTGATACGAAAAGACTCCAGATAAACTTGTCAAATGTGAATATGTACATGGAGATATTTATGTGTGTGTGTGTGTGTGTGTGTGTGTGTCTCTGAAACTCGAACTGAGTCACTTTTAGTCAGCCGAAAGCCAACCTATAAAATCTACCTTGGAATTGTTCAATTGTGCAACACACACACACACACAGGCACACACACACCTAAACAATTTGCAATTAAACATTTGCTTTTAATGTCTCTTTGTAAAAAGGTTAACGCGAACATTTGCCTTTGTTTTCGAGTTAGTTGGGCAACAACAACAACAAAATACCTGAAAATGTGTTCAAACATTATCAACGCTTCGCTGGCTTTTTCTATTTTTGTCTTGCAAAGTTCTAATTGGTTGCGCAATCGAATAGATTTCGTCAAATTTAAATTTTGGATTTGTTTACTCAACGTTTCTTTGTTTTTTGAGGGCTGAACATTTGAAGAAAACAGCTGTTATCGATCTTTAGCTTTGATTCTTTACAATAGTCATTTTCTATCAATTAGAGACTATTTCGATGTTTGATTAATGAAACGTTTTAAAGCAGATTATTGTGGATTATTATATTAGGCCTAGAAAATCAGAAGCATTTGCTTGGCTTGAAAGCTATCTAAAAGTGTTACTTATCGGTATATCGATAATACAGCCACATAAATCACAAAGATTAGGTTTAAATTTATATGCATTAAACTTTTGGCGAACGTATTGATACGATATGCAACTTTGAACTCATTCTCACAATTTAGAAATTACTTGGAATTAATTGATCGATAACAAAGTAAAATTGATTGCTAGCAAAAAATAGAAATCAAATGACGAAGCAAAAAAATTCTAGTTAAATAAATAAGTACATAACATATTTCTCTTCAAAGTCTGGTCAAATAAATAAGTACATAGCCCATTTCTCTTCTTACGTTGGTTATCGATATGTTATAACGATAACTTTTACAACAAAGACTGCTTAAATAAATCATATAATTGTATAGTGGGAAAAGCTGACTCAACTGCGCATTCATCCAATTTAGAGTTAATTACAGGGTATTTATAGTGACATCAGTCTCGGGTACAATTACAATTTGGCAAGGCCTTGAGCAAAATTCTAGCTTGATTCACTTAATTGAGGCGCAAAGACAGAACAGCAACAGCAACCAGATAAGAGTGTTAAAAAAGAAAGAAAATGCAAATAGAAATCGAAGATAAGAAGTGATATAGCGAGTGAGTGAGTGTGTAGTGACTGTGAGTGACTGTACTAATGAATGCAATGAATAACACTAATGAATAGCAACGGAGAAACGAGCTGAGTGAGCGATAGGCCAGATCAACCCAATGAAACTAACTGCTGCAATTCGGAGAACACGCTGATAAGGCAACAACCTCACAGTCTATAGTGCGCTCTCTCTCCCATTTCTCCCTCTCTCTATCTCTGCTTTACAGCTCGTCAAGCTGTTAGCTGCACTTCCTCATACGCCCTCAATTTACACTCAATTGTTTCTTTCACTCTGCAATTCGCTATGCTCATTAACTAACTCTCTCGCTCTCCCTTTCCGCTCTCTCTCTCTTGTTTAGGGCAAGGTCTCGCATGATTCAATCAAGCAGCTTGTGCTCGAAGCGGAGCATTTGGTGCGCGACGCTCAGGAGTCATCGTTGAAGACGCCAACGAAGCAGAAACATTCCATCATCAAAATCTCGTCGACGGTCAAGAAACGCGAACTCCAAATGCCGGGACCCATCAAGCAGCGCGTCGAGGTAAGTGAATGGCATAGCTCAACTCGACATGGAGTCTAATCGGGTCAATTGAAACTCTTTCCAGGAATGGCTGGAGCATCAGCCCTCCACACCCCAGCTGCTGAATCGCAATCATCTGGAGGTGCCGATCAAGCCGGATGACTGCGAGGCCTCGGGCGAGGCCAGCGAAACGGACTCCATGCCCCAGACGAATCTTGTGTGTGGGGCCAACTCGGACTCCTCGGAGGGCTTCACCGACTCCATTGCCACCTGCATGCAGACGAGCACCAACTCGTACGGCAATTCGACGGAGCGCATTGGCGGCTCGGCCGAGCCCATCCACCAGCCGGCCACGCCGCTCGGCTTCGGCAGCAGCAATCAGAGCTTGAATGTGAAGATCGTGAAGCGCACGCAGACGCGTCGCAAGTCGGAGCGTCCGTGGAGCGTCTCCTGCCTGTCGCAGTTGACCACCGATGCCGCCCAGCTGACCACAGCCATCGCGGCCGTCGGCCAGAGCTCGCCTGGCACGGGCCTGGCCAGTCACTCGATTAGCGAGAGCGCCCTGGACTCGCTGTCGCCAGGTCCGCGTGCACGCACCGCCTCCTCCTCGGGCACGGGCAGCAATGCGGCCAGGAAGGCGGACAGCAAGGGCTCGCTGCGACGCCGCAGAGCTCGCAAGAAGCGCATGTCCGCCGCCTCGGCGGGCAAGAAGTCCGACTCGGGCTCGGAGGCACCCGGAGACCTGACCCAAACGCTGATGAAGTCTTGCGAGTCGATGTCCTCGCAGCAGCTGCAGGAGTTCACGAATGCGCTGCTGAGCATACAGAAGGTCAGTCCCACCAAGGACGAGCCGGCGCCCGAGGCCGACTCGGAGTCGCAGCTGATGGTGCCCAAATTCCGCGTCGGCTCCTTCACCACAGCCGCCCTAAGGGCCAGCGAGATTCGCCTGGGCGCACTCGCCGCCCTCTCCAACTACATGCACGAGGATGAGCAGCAAGCAGGTGAGTGACTGCGCAGGGGTGGGACTCAATCGAGCGGTTATCTCTTTAACACTAGAAAGCGCTTGAATACTACTGAAACGATGGAGTGGTTTATATGCGATATACAGCTCATGCAGTTTGGACTTATCGCAGTTAGAGGGCTGTTAAAATTAGTTCATGAGATGTGTCACGTATAACAGTTGATGTTTGGGAAATGAAATATACATAGTAGATTTAATAAAGCAGAAACAGAGGATTTTATGTAGGCAGATATCTGATATTATATGGGTCCTCTTAGACTATATTTTTCGTCAATTCACATATCAAGGAATGATATAAAGTACTTATACATTTTTTTACATAAACAGAAAGTTTTGATTTCTTTGTTTTATAGAACTCTTTTCCTAGTATTTGGATGATATTTCAATCAAATTAAAACTACGGTCTTTATTATTCGTTAGACATATCTCTATAAACCATATCAAATCGGAATATTAGCTGTGTCTGGCCGGGTACTTTGAGCTACAGATATCGTTTCTTGATTCTATATATTGAGAGTGTTTATATATATAACATTTGAGTAGTAAACGATAAGATATTATTCACTATCAGAACTGACATGCTAAAAGAGCAAGTAAAGACCTTAAAATTTATAGAGTTTGAGGAAATGAATGTATTAACGAGTATTTTGCTGCTTATCAATGAATATGATATATAAAATATAGATCTCTACGTGAAAATATAGATGTATGTGTATAATATGCTCTTTTAGCATGTCAGTTCTGATAGTGAATAATATCTTATCGTTTACTACTCTATCTAAAGGCTATATATATACACTGTATATATAGCCTTTAGATAAAACTCAGGAATTATTGGAGTAGAGTTATCCCAGTTGAAATGTAGGCTAAGTTAGCATCGCAACGTTTCAGATTAGAGCTAGTTAAGCCTTAATGGATTGCCGCTATTCGATAAGACAGACATGCTGGTAGCCTTCATATATATTCATTCATTAATATATATGTATATATATTGCCTGAATGCCATTCTAAATCGTTTCAATAGCATTCAATGGGCGCGCACACTCAGCACACTCAGCTCTTAAAATACTTTTCTGTCTATCTATTGTATACGTTTCTCTTACGCAAGCTCGCACGCTCGCACCCAGGCCAAAAGGTACCGCAAACTGCACCCGAAACGACCCCTTGTATACCCAGTACAACTGATACCGAATATATATACTGATTTACTTTTGCATCTCCCGACAGAGCTGAGCACTGAGGAGCACCACAGCAGCATCTCGGAGACTGCTTGGGACAACTACCAAGAGAAATACAACTCGGAGAACTACTCGGAGGGCTTGGACTCGGATGCAGCGCGTCGTCTGTTGGAATTCGGGGACGACTATCGGTGGGTAGCCAAGCTCTATTTATAGACTGTGAATACACACATCTCATATGTGATTTTATGCTATAATTTCGATTTGATTTGTGGTCTTCTAGCAATTTCATCGACTCGCAGTCGGACTGCTGCAGTTCGCTGTCGGCTGCCAACAACTTGGACTCGTTTTCGCCTCCGCGCATGGACTCGCTGCAGCAGCACGAGCTGAAGGCGCTGCACATCAACCAGGAGACAATCAGCAGCAGCGTCGACCACGCGCGTCGCCAGCGCGCCCTCGAGCTGCAGTACGAGCGACGTCGCAAGACGCTCGAAGTGCGACGCAAGTCCTGTCAGGGTAGGTGCACCTACAGGGTATATTTCTCGTCACATCAAACTCTAATGCCTCTCTAATCGCCTATTGCAGACATGGCCGATGCTATCGGCTCCCAGCAGGAGCAGCTGCAGCAGCAACGGGAGCAGCACCAGGCAACCAATGCAAATCTCTCCTCCTCGGCCACGGCGCTGATGACGCCCAAGAACTCTGCGTCGGCTCAGCTGCCCGCTCGCACCGATTCGGTGGGTCGCAAACTGGAGTTCGGTGGCTCGATGAGTCACTCGGCTCAATCGCTGCTGCGCCGCACCTCGGAGAGCGACACCTCGACCCGACGCCGTCGCACTGTGACGGCGGATGAGCGCCGACGCTCCTCCCGCAACCTGGAGAAGTGCATCAAGGTCATTCCGGCCACGTCCTCGTCCAGCGGCGATGACTCCGAGGATGGCGAGCAGGAGATGCGCTCGCTGCTGCAGCAGAGCAAGGACAGGCTCGAGGATACGCGCGCCCTCAAGATACGCTGTCATCTGTTGAGACCAGAGGATTATGTAAGTTGAATGCAGGGAACGAGAAGAGATATATCTATAAAGAGAGCAAGAAAATAGATTGATTTACCTTGGACTAAATTTGTATATTTATATGACTAAGCGCAAAGAAGCAGCTCTTTTCGATTGGTGGCGATGTGAATTGAAATATTATAGATGAGGTTTATGTGTGTGATATATACTGTAAATGAAAGCTATATGATGTAGAGATATAGAGTTCATAGGATCATTATAGATATCCCTTTCTTAATGGAACTGACATATGCAAGTGCAAAACTTATTCAGCTGCTCATTGAACTCTAACTAGAAAGGGTCTTCGAAAGAACTTCTATTGTCTAGTTAAAGTTTAAGGCAGCATAATATCAAGCAATGCTAAATCTAGCTGAGATTGCAGAGAATTGTTGAGCAGTATTGCTTAAGGGATCAAGTTTATATGGAATATAAGTAAACAAGGAAATGAGATTTCTAAGATTATTCGAACATCTTTCGACTAATTCTCATTAGTTCATATATCAAGTAGGATATCTTCTACTCTCCAATCAAGCTTTACTAATGTTCCTCTCCCCTTCTCTCTCTCCCATCCAGAACGAGATCATAAACACTTGCCGTGACAACATTCGCTGCTTGGAGGCTGTGCTGAGGGGTCCGCCTGGCACAGTGCTATCGACTCAGTGCGCCGGCCAGACAAAAGGTGAGTCCTTGCCGCCAGGCTGTCGGCTAATCGCAACTGCAAGTGCAACTGGACATCAAAGTGCTGTTACTGCCGCTGCCGGTGCTGCTGCTGCTGCCACGCCCATGCCCATAGTCGAGTGCAAGTGTGCGCCCATAACGCGATTTGTGGCCCGATTGATTGACTTTGTTTTGGATGTTGGCAATTTGCTGGAGCACTTCACGCTCTATCGATTTCTGGCCGGGACGCTGCGGACGCTCTATGCGCTGGTCAATCGGCCCATGGGGCGGCTGGAGCGTCTCTTCGCTGGGTTTCGGGGGCTGCTCTAAGAGCTAAGAAATGAGCGACCAGTTGCTCTCAAACCTGCCCTGTGCCTTATCAAACTTTTGCCAAGCGAATGAATTGTGTATTATTATTATTATGATTATTTTTATTATTATTTTTTTACATTATTTTTTTGTAAATTTTTTTTTTTTTGAAAAATTTTGTTTTTGCATTTGACAAAACGCATTTTGCATCGAATTTAATTTGCATTTGTTTTAATCTAATTTAAAATGAACAAAATATTTATTATTTTGCATAATTTTTTGGCAAATAAAAACTAATCATTTTTATATGAAGAAAAAGAATCACCAATGCATTTCAAACTGTTCTAGTCTGCTGTACTTTACGTCTAGATTATTCATATATTTATATATACATATTTAAAATTAATATTAATTTGGTGTAATTGTTTCGTTTATGCTTGTGTTTTTGTCAAATGTTTAACCAAAATTAATTTTTAGTTTAATTTTCCTTTGATTTTAACTAATTGTATTCGAATTGTCGCACAAATAGCGGTTTATGGGCCACACGCACTCTTATACTCGAAAGTACATTTATTTAGCATATAAGATAGCCCTTTACAGTTGTGAAGCAACTGTGCTAAGCTATGCAGTCTCTTAGTATTGTGCATGCCTCTCAAACTGACTAGCAATAGAGATATTTATATACATATGTATTTTGTGATAAATTTGCTTAGAATTATGCGCATTAAGATCAAACGCTGCTTTGACCCTCACCAAGAGCAAAATTTCACGTTGCCAGCTGACGTCATTTTGCTTAATTTATTGAAAAAAATGTTGTTGAAATAATGCCAACAGCTCGAAAACTATAAAGCCAATGAATTTATGTAGGTAATTGATAACAAAGGGCGCTAGGTGGCGTCTTGAATTTAAAGTTTTAAGCTCTGACTGTGACTCTCCAACTGTAGCTCGTAGCTTCTGTATGTATGTGTGTGTGTAGCTGTTTTGTCGCCGTCACTTGCTATTGTTGTAGCTGCTATCATAGCGTATCATCTGTTTTTTTGAAAATGACGTCGTCGCTCTCTGCATACATTTTGACGCATGCGCAGGCACACATACGTGTGCTTTTATAAGTATGTGTTTCACTATGCATAAGCAGAGCATACACGCATACACAAGCATGTGTGAAGCCGAGTTCAAAAGTTTACCGCTGCGCGCTCAGCCGTTAGCCTCTCTCTTCATCTCTTCCTTCTCTACTTCTCTCCTTCGCTCGCTTTTTCGTCGTCTACCTGAAAGCTGCTGCGCCAAAAACGATTGAAACATCGCCGTCTCAGTTCATTTTCAGCGTGCGTTCCAAGCGGTTCTGCTTCCGTCGTCATCGTCGTCGTCGTGTTCGCCTGCGACGTTGTTGTATTTACTTTTAACTATAATTTACTGTGCTTCCGCGCGCTGTAAGAACTCGCACAACTGTTTTTCTACAAAACGAAAATCTCATTTCCATTAAACTAAATAATAAATTCAACTGTGATAGCAACAACAACTAAAAATCTCAAAATTTCAAAATTTCTCACCAAATATTTGCCACCCATTCATGAAAGTCGCGTGTTTTGCGTGTTTGCCCTGCGTATAAGAGTGTATAAGAGTGCATTATAAGAGCGCATCGTGTGCTTGGCATTGGCATTTTCAGTGTTCTTTTTGTTTACTCGACGAGTTTCCCAACTTTTCGAGGTCAGCGCACAGCGTGTAAACAAATCTTCAACAAAGCAACGCCCCGCGCTCACCAGTAAACAATCAATTGAAATGTTTAAAACGCAAATTAATTTCGAAAATTGATTTCAAGTGGCGCCGCCTGGCGTACAAAAGAGCCGGCTGTGCGAGCAACCTTAAGTGGGTCACTGCAAAGGGTGGCCAGGAGTTAGTAGGAGCGAGCGAGAGCGCAGCTGGCGACAATCATGTCCAAAATAAATGTCGCTGTGCAAACGGATATATGTGGCATGCTGTCGGCCAGCTCATCGGCCTCCACGTCGCGCTGTTCGTCGGAGCAAGGTAAATACCGTTATGTGCACAGAGAGCGCAGAAGAGGGCGACGGAGATGTCTGCCATGCCAACAGACAACAGCCAACAGACTCCAAACAAAGGGAAAACTTATCGCACATAACTGCAAACAGGTGTAAATGATGTTTTAGAGAAGAAGAAGATACAGAGAAAACACAAAGATCACAGATAAGCAACAGACGTTAGAGCAGACTAATTGGTAACCAACTGCGGCTGACGAAAGTGAAATAAGTAAACAAGTGGGAGGGGCAGGGGCGGGGGCAGAGGCAAGGCCAGAGCAGAGGGACTGACAGTAGTGGCTAAATTAAAAGCCTATTAAGCTTATGCATTATGCATGGACCGCATAGAAAAACGGTTGTAATTTGGGGCTTACCGTTATGCTCGCTGTGCTTAAATTAGTCAAGAGGCTTAATTAATGAAGTTACAAGATTTTTCTTCTATGTCATGAAAAAGTCTCCAATTAGCTGCACATAATTTGAAAGCTAAAGATGATGAATACATTTCATGTTATATTAATTAAGCTATTTGCCATTAAGTTCAAGTTTTTGCTCAGTGTATTCATATATTATCTTATTTCCTAGAAATATAAAATTTGTATTTGGTTGAGCTCATTGCTTGAACTTGACTGTGCCCATGCATTCATAGTTCACATAAGTCGATAATGCTAAGTGGAGAATGTTTGTTTCAAAATCCAATCAGACTACACTGAAACACAAAGCAGCGCACAAAGTGCTTAAAGAGCTATAAAAAACGCTTATGAGATAATAAAAGTCTTACATGTTTATCATAGGGGGAATGTTATGTAACCCCATTGGAATATTCCTCTTTGTTCTCTTCAATTTCCCCTCCACTCTTCTTAATTCAAATGTTGTTCCACATCTTTGGCTACGTCGGAGAATCTTTAGCTCATTCTTAGGTTGATTCATCTGCAAAGGAAAAGCAGTTGAGGAAAACCGTTTGTGCTAGATTTTTCTCTGCTGCTGCTTCTTCTTCTTCTGCTGACCGACTTTAGCCACCTGTTGTCTTTGCCACATATGCCACATGCTGCCTGCTGCATGCCACATTTGCTGCCAAATCGGGTTGGCCGCTGCTCGACTGGCATGGCTAATTAAACATCGCTGTCAGCCATAAACTTCTCTATGGGCAACTGGGGAGAGATGTGGGCGTGGCAGGGGGCGTGATTGCATCAAAGTCATTGCAATTGCAGTTTTTTTTTTCTTTTATAGGGCATTGCATTATGGCCATCGAGCTTTATGGCCCAAACAATTTACCCAAGCTACGCTGCCCTGGCTCTTCCTCTTATTCACGCTCAGCTTGACACACACACACACTCATACGCTCATTAACGGTACTCCTGTACAGTGGGCTCTTTTATGGTCAATTGTTGGCGTTCCGCTTTGATGTTTTATTTTTCAGTTATGGAGAGTGGGAAATACGTTGAACCCAAGCTGAGGCAATGGCAGAAACCGGAACCTAGGTTCAACGTGGGTCAAAATGGATGATGAAAAACAAAATATGTATATATATGTGCATTTGTTTATATAAGGCAAAAGTCTGGCGTCATTCTATCCATTAATTATAAGAATCAAAAATGTTTTTTTCTTTCGATTTTTTTTTGCTTTGGCCCCATTTGCGGTTGACCTTCAATTTGCTGGGAATTGTTAAGTCATTGAAAACTGAAATCGTACCGCATTGAAATCGAAATTGAAATTACACTATGATAAATGGTTTACAGTTTCATATCTAATGCGGTTACTGCGGCTGCTGCTGCAGCTGCAGCAGAGTTTGAGGTGAGCTCACACACCTTCCCACATGCAATTGACATCAGAAAACAAATTGCATTCATTTCGTTTGTCTTCGGGGCGTGTTTCCTACCCAAAAACACTCTGCACTCAAGCGGAAAATGACAAACGGTAACTGAGAGGGATATAGAAAGAGAGACAACGAGGCAGAGACTGTTAGTAAAGGAAAATGCATAGGGATCGAAGGACAGGGAGAAGAATAGGAGAATAGAAGAGCTAAAACCACATAGCATTACAAAGAGTAAGAGAAAGAAGGAAATGGAGAGATATTCAGAATTATCTTATTAGTAATTGAAATGCAAAAATGAGCGCCTAAATGCTCAATTTATGTTGCTCTTTAATTAGTAGCTATAAATACAGCTATTTTAAAGTTAATTAATGCTTAAAATAGTAATTAACATTTGCTGCTAAGCAGCCGCAGCGGCAGCTAACGATTTTCACAGTTTCATCGGCAAGTTTTCGCGGCTTCATGCTAATCGCATTATCTCTTTCGCTTCATGAGTCGCTCCACTCACTAATCAGCTTTAAAAAAGCCAGAACAGCATTTTTGTTGTTCATTTTCGGCTACGTTTTCAAAAATATATTTGCTAATTATATATAATTGTTGTCATCGTTTACCTTTCGGCTGTTTGCTTCACATAATTATTCAAGAATATCTGTGGGCAAATATGCGCGAAGCTTCGCTTGGGTGCTTTACCTTTGGGCTATGCTGGCAACCCTGTTTCTTCGCTCATCTTCGACTCTATTGCTATCACTATTACTAAATAAATATGTTTTTGTTGCTGCTGAAGACAAGAATCGTGTCGGTTGGCCCATGGGCACCGCCTTCTCGGCCTGCCACACCTTTCCCTGCCATTTGTCGCATTCTCGTTTCGCTTTATGGATCCTTGTCACGCAGCCGAGTCCTTGTGCCCATTTCAGGCATAGGTCTTGGGTAACTTGGCAGGCATTTGGGTAAATGGTTAAAAATAATATAAGAAAAGAGAGTTGGAATTAGTTGCGTATGGCATGGAAGGTTTGATTATTGCATTTGTGCCTAGTCCAGACTTGCCCAAAGGTAAAAAGCAATCGTAGATGTGATATAATATGAAGATGTGAAGAGTATTAAACAGTTGGCAAGCCTTTGCAAGTGTTGGCTAGACTTTCAGGCACTCATGAATTCGTCATATTTTGTTTACTTGCGAAATATATACAAATTTAGACAGAATGTATCTATTTGTAGATGTTTACAACGACAGATGCTGTATAGTGCAGAGAGACAAAGAAAGAGCGAAAGGGGGGTTGAGGTAGAATACTAGTTGACTACTTTTATATGGATGATTATATTGCCCATTAAAGTTTGCATATCTTTATTGAACAACTTCTGTCTCTTACGGAGAAAAGACTAAAGGTGTGAAAGAGAGGAGGAGACGAACCATAATAGAAGAAAGTAAAATTTAGGAATAGTAAGATTGAAGCTATATAATTTATAGAGAGAGAGTGAGAGAAAGAGTGACAACCGGAGGGAGAGTGAGAGCAAGGGGCTTTATAGGAGATAGAGACAGACTTATAGGATATATTTCTATGACAAAGTCCTTTTATTATAGTATGTGGAAAGAGGAGATATACTAAAAGTGGCAGATAGAGGATAGTGAGAGACAGAGAGAGAGAGAACACGGTAAGTCAGTTAGAGAGAACACCTAAGATAATTGCAAAAGTGTTAAGAAAGTGTTAGATTTTCCGCCGGCTGCATTTGACTTAATATATATTCACACCTACACCTATGCACACACTTGTCCACACCTCCTCGAGAGCAACGCCCACGTTAAGCATTTCGCAAGAATGTGAATTTGCTACACAAATATACTTTGCATTTCTGTTATTTTTGTGTTTTTTGCCAGGTTTTTGTGGGCGTCAATGCCCTTGGATTGCATTTTGTGGCTGCAGTTGCAGTTGCAATTGCATTTGCATGTTTCTCTCAGGTTTTTCGTTTTCTTAAACAATATTCGGAGCGTGACGAAATGCAAACACAAATTTCACTTGGCAAAGTCAGCAAAAAACAGAAACAGAAAAAGAAACTGAGGAAATAAACGGAGATTCGCCAAGCTCAGCTCAGCTGGCGGAGGGTAGAGTTTTCCTATTAGAATTGAAATTTAAATGAAATTCCAATTGGCAATTGCCAATTGGCAATTATAGCACTAATTGTTGATTAAAGTGAAAGTTTTCAGCAATTTCCAGTGCTGCCAATTGCTAATCAATTTTATGAGCACTCTTTAAGCGTTTATCCAGCTGCGCAGATTATTAATTTCCACTGGGAGCTATTGCGATGATCGAGCTTTTCACTGTGTAGATAGATGGGGGCTCCACCCCGACCACCTGCCGCTGCCACGCCCCTTTTGCAGTCTAAGTGTGCAAATCATGGCAGCGGAGCGGGCAGTTGCCTGATAATGCCTAGTTGGCCCGGCCAACGCCCCACCTGGCAGGTGCAAAGCCCTCACCCCGAGCAGAGGCTGCGAGTTGTGCAATCCGCTTAAGATTACGAGTTTTCGCCTGCTTGCAAAGTGCGTAGCCGACCGAGGTGGACATCCTCTGCGACGCACCGCCACGGCTATCAATTGGACTCGAGAGAGATAAAACTGGGCAAGTTACTGCGAGGAAATTGAAAAGCTGCGCAGTGGGCTGAAGTTGTCGAAATGTGATCTAAACATGTAGTGTATAGCAAAGGCGACACTATAAATGTATTCTATGAAGGTGCAGGGTTATCGATAACGATAGTTTCTGAGGCGATTAACAGTTAGCATGATACTATACTTGGAGATTATTATTAGTGGCTGACTGAATTTGTTATTGATTTTTATTATACTTCATAGGGCAGTTATCGATAACACTTATCGATTACTATCAGTCACCTGTTTGACCAAACAAGATTATTGCCTCCATTGGTTATCTAAAACTCTATTCAGTATATCGCTTTTCATGACATCAACATATTGCAGTTATCGATAACTTTTATCTACTGATTATTTAACACTCTGTTCAGTTTATCATAAATTGCTTGTCTATCGCTTTTCGCCATGTTCGTCCCACTGTGCGCTAGTTGCTCGATCGTTTTGCTGCGCTCGAGCTGCTCCGTGGCGGCGGGCTTGGCGCGCTGCACTCAGGCAGACAGCTCGCGCGCCGCACACTCAAGTTCAGTCAACCAGTTTGAGCTCGACTGCCAACAAGTTCGGTTTCGTGTGCTGCCGGAGCTGCTCCTGTTCCAAAGTGCGTGCATTGCGTTGCGTCGTAGTACGTGAAGTGCCTGACAATCAAGAGTGTGTGCGTTTAATATCGCATTAAAAGCAGCCTCAAGCCCAGCTCAAGCTGCCGATAAGCCTCAACCTGTGGCCAGGTGCCATCCACCTGCTGGGTGAAAGTAATTGGCTCGCTGATGTGCTCGCACAACTCAATTAAGCGATCAGTTGGGCCGCAGCCTTGCCACGAGTCGGTTGATAGTCTTGGCACTAATACAGACTAACTGCTAATCTATTGCTAGTAATAGAGATTATCTGCTATAACTACTTGTTTTGGGTGAGTTCTGGCAAACCTTTTTACTTTCCATACACATCCCAGAGAGTCTGACAAATCCAGTTCGCCCAGCGCCTGCCTTAAAGTTATTGTCAAGTTTAGGTCTGCTGCCCACGCGTTGCTATTGCGCATGCAGCTGACAATTGTGACTAGAATATACCCTACATAAATTGCGTCCGAATTTGGTATACTTCTCTATACTTCTGAATCATGTCATCAAGCTTGATCTATCTGTGAAAATCTTCTACAACTCTTCAAGCTCAGTGGCTTTAGTTCAATATTAATTCCTTCAGCTCTCAAGAGTCTGTATGCTATATACCCGCTTTATTAACAGACTACAGGGTATGTGGGGACTTCTATTCTATGAGGCGTCGCCTGTTGCTGCAGTTGCAAAAATAGGCGCTGTCTTTCCTCCCACACACTCTCAATCTGACACATACACATACTCATACACACACACGCGCAAATGTTATATATACAGTGAGATTATTCCCCTCGACTGTTCCACTCTGGCGCACTTAGTGCCAAATGTTTATTGTTTTGTAGCGTTTATCATTTTCGTGTGGCTCTGCAAACAAACAAAAGTTTCACTTTACATTTCACAGATGGAGAGAGAGAGAAAGAGAAACAGAGAGAGAGAGAGAGGGAAATGGAAAGGTTTCGTCTCAAAGTTTCAAAGGGCTGTAAAACCCACAAACAAAATCCAAATCCGAATTCAAATTGCGCCAATTATCGATAGTTTTTGGCTTTCTCCACTTGAGTTTGGCTTGCACCATTAACTCGCTGTGATTTTCTTTTGGCTTGCAGATTTGTTGGGCAACTGGGAGGATTTGCTTAACTGGAGCGAGAATGCAGCCAGCGCACGCAAGCTGCAGCAGGAGATGAGCGCACTGAAGCACACGCTGCGCCGTCTTGGCGACCCGTCCACACCGGAGCTGCTCGACACAGAGCCCGCCATACAGGTGGCCATTGAGGCCTTGAAGGTGAGTTCGAACTGCTTTGCTGCAGCTTCAGCGGATCGTAAATATAACCAACTTGCACTTGCAGCACGATCAGACACAGCTGAGCAGCTATCGCACCAACATGCTGCGCCTGAATGCCTCCGTGCACAGCTGGCTGACTCGCCAGGAGCGGCGTCTGCAGCAGGAGCAGCTGCAACAGGAGTCCGAACAACTTCAACAGAAAGAGAAGAAGCTGCAGTTGCAGCAGCAGCAGCAGGAGGAGCAGCAGCTCGAGCTGGAGCAGGAGGCGGGTGTGGCCATCACCGTAACGGACAGCAATGGCAACCAGGTGGTGGAGGCCTCCACTGGCACCTGCGACGTGTCCAGCCTGATCAGCGCCGAGCAGGAGTTCCACAAGCACCTCAAGGACGAGGTCAGCGACATGTACAGCGCCTGGGATGAGGCAGATGCCAGGTGAGTGAACGACATAGATATAAATCAACTCGGGTCATTGACTAATCCTCTGGTGTCCCATTCCAGAATCAACTCTCAGCTGGAGATGCTCACGAATTCGCTGATTGCCTGGCGGCAGCTGGAGTGCGGCTTGAGCGAGTTCCAGCTGGCGCTTGGCCAGGACCGCGGCACACTCAAGGGCCTGGAGGGCGCCCTGGACAAGGGACAGGCGACGCCCGTGGAGCTGGCACAGAATGTCAAGCTGGTGGCCAAGTTGCTCTCGGAGAAGGTCAACGTCAGCCAGGAGCAGCTGCTCGCCGTGCAGCAGCACCTGGATCCCAATCACATCTATCACATTGCCAAGTTCACAGCCTCCAATGGCTCGCTGTCCGACTCGGGCATCTCGGACGGCGGCGCCACCTCCGATGGCGGCCTGTCCGAGCGCGAGCGCCGTCTGGGTGTACTGCGTCGCCTGGCCAAGCAGCTGGAGCTGGCCCTAGCGCCAGGCAGCGCCGCAATGCGTTCCATTGCTGAGCGCATGGAGAGCGCCGAGGCGGAGCTGAAGCAGCTGCAGAACACGTGCAGAGACTTGATTGTGCGCACAGCTGCCTCGCACCAGCAGAAGCAGCAGGAGAAGCTAAAGGAGCAGAAGGAGCAAAGGGAGCATGACGAGCAGAAGCAGCCTCTTGCGAATGGACATGCCAAGCAGCTGGCAGTCAAGTCGGCCAATCAGTCGCCCAAACGTCGCAACGGACGCAAGCCTCGTCCAGCTGGCGAGAAGCAGGAGAAGCAGCCGCTGCGCAAGGACCAGGAGCAACAGGTTGTGGAACAGCTGCAGCGCATTGTCGCCGCTGGCGGCGGTGGAGATGAGCCGCCCGAGGACCCAGCCACCATGTTGGACAGCTCTGAGGATGAGGACGATGCCGCCGCCAAGGCGAAGCCTCGCGGCTGGGCGTGGCGCATAGCGCGCGCTGCTGTGCCCATGCAGCTGGCGCTGTTCACGTTCTTCTGCGCTGCATGCATGATGCAGCCCAATTGCTGCGATAATCTGAACAATCTGTCGATGAGTTTCACGCCCCAGTTGCGCTATATACGTGGCCCGCCTCCAATTTGAGCGATGCAAGTCGCGCGCGATTCACAAAACGCGCGCGCGTTTTTATGTAGGCAACAAAATATTTACTTAAGACGAGTATCGTTAAGCAATCTAACAGCCAGTTAGGTGCCACTCGGGCAATATATAGATATGTATACAGATCCCGATTTGCAGTCGACCTCGCGCGACGAGGCGACTGAGGCGCGTTTTGCGCGCGATTCATGCGCGACTCGTGCGCGATTTGCGCGCGCGCTTTGAAAGCAATTTGCATATAAACATTTTTGTGTGTTTGTTTGTCTTTTATGGAAGCGGAGGCACTTAATTTCTTATTTTTTAAAATGTTTAATTGAAGTGGAAAACAACGCGAGTTATGCTTAAGATATACCCTACATAGATTTTGATTTCATGGATCGTTTCTTATAGTTATCTTAAGAGTTCGATTGCGGTTCTTGCAAACATTTATAGATTTTTTTACGAGAAAGCCTTTAAAATTAAGTGCGAAAACAAGTTTAAGCTCAACTTTAGCAATTAGAAGGAGTAGGAGCAGGAGGAGGAGAGAGTAGAAACGGGAGAACAGTTTCAACAAATGAGATTCACGGAGAGATGAGGAATCAGCAGATCAAAAGACCATGACAGATCGTGGCAAAAGGAATCATATATATTCGTACACGTACTTAGAGAACGATACTGTTGGGTGCATGGAACCCGCCCACATATCAGAGTAACTTTTGTAAGGCATGACACGAACTCCAGTTATTAGGAATACCATTAAAGAGGAAAACATTTCAATTGCGATTATTTTTGGTCAACTTTTCTGTTTGTAAAACACGTAAAGTGCCTAAGAAGAGACCCAGCGCAACAAATGGGCTCATCACGACGACAGCGAAACGTCTAAGGACGTGGGAGGAGCAGACACTGAGACTGCAGGAGACAGCGTCCTGCCTATCGAGCACCAGGCCACATAGCAAACCAGAAGCTAACGCCAAGCAACCTACGGGGCGCCGAAACCAGTTGAGAATTAGAGTTTCTATTTTTATACGCAAATCAAATTTATACAAACAGCTCGCGAGCCTTGGCAAACACCTATTGTCCACCTAACGCTCTATTTAATCAGTTTTATGTCTATTATATTAATAGGATAAATTCTAAACTTTACAAAAGCATACGAAAACCGAAACAGAAATATATCTAAACTAGAAAGATAACAGCAAGAGATGGGAACAGAATTTGTATCTAAAGCGGATCGCAGCATTGCGCAGCTAATTAGACTATGTTTAGATTCTTATTTGGCAAACGCTAATTAAATTATAAACTACTTATAAGTTTCATTATGTCTTGTGAGTTTTCCAACTTTCAATTCAAAAAAAAAAAAAAATTATATGAAAAGCAAAAAATAAAAGTATTAAAGAGCAGAAATGTGGAATGTCTTAGAGCTGAGTAAGAGACTACATATAAACCCTCTAGAGTAAAGATTTCCTTACGCGGGCCTATTTTACTGAAGGATCAGTTCTAACAAATTTCTAAAGGAAGTAGTCGGAGTGGAATGATAAATTGAGGCTTATTCCTCCTTTTGGACGCTGAGGTCCCTGCTCTCGACTAAGGAATCGGACGAGAGGTCGGCCACCAGCTGATGGTAAACTCCCTCGGGCACGACAGTTCCGACGATCTTCTTGTTCTCGTCGGTCTTCACGCGTATCATTTGGATCTTGCGGCCGTCCTTCTCGATGATCAGCGCTATGCGATCCCAGATGGGCAGCATTAGGCCCGAGAGCACGTGGTAGGTGCGCACCCGGAGACCCACCCCGCACTTGATGCCGAAGGGGCAGCGGCGGTTCCAGTAGATGTGGGAGCACACGCGCAGGCACTGATTGTACTGCATGTCCCAGAACTGCTGCACTGCCTCGGGCGAGGCCTTCACGTAGCGATTGCTGATCGAGCTGAGCGTCTCGGTGCGCACCTGGGGCCCCGTGTTGGGCCGATAGATCTTCATGTTCAGCTTGCTGTGATCGGTGGTCTCGCTTTGGTCCGGCTGGGCATTGAGGCAGAGGATGGCGCAATTGTTATTGTTGCGCTCCTGCTTGAAAGTATAGAAGCCCTCGTGGTCCTGGCGTGCTTCTTTCTTGTATCTAGGAAGGAAAAAAGTCGTGGAGCATAAGAGAGTACACTCAAAGGAAAGAGAGGAAGCAGGCTAAGGGGAGAAGATCTAGTTCACTTACTTGGCCAGCGCCTGATCGTAGGACATGCCCCGCACCACCTGCATGGTGTGCAGCTCCGTGGCCGCCGTGCCCGTGGCATGTTTTCTGACGAAGCGTATCAGCTTGATGGCCGTCACATTGGCGCCGTGCGCATCCAGGTCCAGGATGCCGAGATCAAAGTGACCGGAGCGCTTCATTTGTAGGATGAGCGAGTACATCTTGTTGAGGAAGAACTTGAAGAGGGCGTTCTGCACCTCGACGCGGCAGCCGAGTATGCGATTGAGGAACTTGGGTATGTTGTTGCTGTCCTTCTCAATGACAAAGATCTGATGACCCTTGGTGTCCTCGGAGACGCTCAGCATGCCCACGCCAGAGAGCGCCACGCAGCAGTCGAAGCAGAAGTCGCCCTTGTAGGTGTCGGGAACGTGGACCTCCTCCAGCGGCTTCTCGCCCGTGATTTGCTGCAGGACGCTCTCCAGGGCGCTGCGCCCGATGTTGTTGTCAATGTTGAACTTGGACAGATCCCTTGCATCGGTGGCCCGCCGATCGCCCTGTGTGAGCGCGCCAAGACTCTCCAGCCGCTTGGCCACAGTCGCTGCGAAGCGACTTTCCCCGCCCAGATCCGAGATCAGGAAGACGTACTCGGGCGCATTCGCTTGGTTTGAGCGATGCGTGCGCCCGAACTGCTGTATGGCTCGGTCCGCGCTCCAGGGCAGCTCCAAGGTGATGTGGAGGCGGCGTCGCTGAATGGCCAGCCGTCTGTCGCTCTGCAGCGAGATGCCGCTGGACGCCGCCTCTGAAATGATGGCCACGTGCTTGGTGTCCTCCATGAAGCGCTGCTTCTCCATGTAGTTGACCAGGTCCATGGTCGTCTCCGCCTCGCCGCGCTGCTCGTAGCGATAGGTGTTGTCGTCCATCTTGATCACACGTCCGCGCCTGCCCGTCATCTCAGCCACGACCTTGGTGCCCAGCTTGGAGATGATCTTGTCTAGCGTGTTGGGCGGCATGCGTTTGCCCAAGAGCTCGATCTTGTCGAGCAGCTTCTCGCGCACCGTGATGCAGCGCTCGACATCGCGCTCCGTGATCTTGGCCGACTGCGGCCTGGGSGAATCACAGCTGGAATCGTCGTCGTCGTCATGCTTGGCATTCATGTTGTCGCATAGGTGCTGCAGGATGCGGTCCTGCATGGTTATCTTCTCTACTGTGAGAAAGGAGTAGAGGCGTATGAGTTGCAGGACTGTTCCCGGATCTGTTGGAATTCTTACCCTTGTCTGGCTTGGGCGGCCGGCCGCGACGCTTGCGTCCCGCCTTCAAGCGATCGTCATCATCGTCGTCGCCGTTCCAGTTGTCGCACATCTCCATGTCGCTGTCACCACCTTCCGCTTCCATTTCGTCGTCCGACCACTCGGGGATCATGCGACTGCGCTTCGGGGCGGAGCACTTCCCGCGACCCTCCGGCTCGAAGGTGCCCGTACTTAGCAGCTTATAGAGCGCCTCACGCGAGGGTGCGGGAAAGTATTTCTCCACGAACGACTGTATGATCATCTTCGCGGTGGACACAAAGCCCGTCAGCTCGCCCTGGTAGAGCTCCAAGTGCTCCAGGGTGCGCGACTCGCCCGTCGACTGCAGCCCAATGACCACTGCCTTGCCCTGGCGAGCCGCGTCGCGCACCATCTTGACCACATGGTTCACCTTCGAGGCGATGCAGAGGTTCTTGAAGAATCGCTGGTGAGCCGACCAGAACTGGCAGGTGATTATCTTCTGGACGCGGTTCTCGATGCACATGAGGCGGCAGGCCTTGACGAACTTCTCATTGATCTCGGCCCACAGCTCGGCGGCGTGGTTGTAGAGCTTGTGGAAGTCCCGCGACATGGGCACCTCCTCGATGCGAAAGCTGACGTCCTTGAAGCTCAGCTGACGCGCGATATACGAGCCCCTCAGCTTCATGTCCATGGCCACGATCTCCATGGCGCCAATGCCGCGCTTCTCCACGGTGTTCACAAACTTGAAGAACTCCGAGTAGGAGGTGCCGGGGCCCCACAGCCCCAGGCGCACCATGTACGCCATGTTGCGAGGCTCCGAGGCGCCCGTCGCCGAGGCGTAAACCACCCGCGCCATGGGCAGCAGCTGCTGCAGCTCGAGCACTGTGGTGCCCGTCTTGGTGGACTTGCCTGCGTTCATCAGGCTCAGGTTCTTCGCCTTGTGGCACTCGTCCAGCACAATGACCCCGTCGAAGTTGGTGCCCAGCCAGTTGATCAGCTGGCGCAGCCTCGTGCTGTACTTGGGATTGGCGTTCGCCGACTCCCCGATGAGGGCGGTGTAGGTGCAGAAGATGACGCCGCGCTTGAAGGAGTCGTTCTCCTCGGAGCTGATGCGGCTGTACTTGAACTTGCTCATCGAGGCAACCTTCAGGTGCTTGCTCGCCCCAATGTCCTGCAGATCCCGCTCCGCGTCGAACTTCAGGTCGTTCGACACCGATATCCAGAGCGCACGCTTCCGTCCGCGCAAGTAGTTCTCGTAGATGATGGCCGCCACGGTGCGTCCCTTGCCGACGCCAGCGCCGTCGCCCAGCAGGAAGCCCGCTCGCTGGCCGCTGGGCAGCATCTGCTCGTGCGCCTGGCAGGCATAGGTCACCGCCTCCAGCTGCAGCGCGCTCAGCCTGTCCGAGTTCTTGAGCTTGTCCGGCAGGGCCAGCTGGTACGTGATGTCCGGCAGCTCGACGGAGGACAGCGTGGCAGTCTCCACCACGGGATCGGGATGCCGCGAGCCGCCCTTCAGCTTGCTCGGCCAGTACGAGGAGTAGGTGTCCGCCACGCCGATCTCCTCGAAGTCCACCTCATCGTCCTCGAGCGGCGCCTGCATCGGCGGCAGGTCCCGGCGCTGCGGCGGCACGCGCAGCACATTGGGCAGATCGCCCTTCATTGGCAGCTTCATCTGGGTCATCGGCTTCATCATGTGGCTGGGCAGGACGCCACGCATCTGGCTCTGGCCCGGGACCACGCTGCTCTTTGCCTTGATAAAGTCCGTGAGGGTCTTGGGAAAGCCTGCTGGATTCCCGTTCTGCACAAACACTCGGTTCTGCCCGTTCCTGAAGCGGTCCTGCGGATTGGCCACCATCACCTTGTACGGATGCTGAACAACCGCTCCAGCAGCGCCGCGCATCTGCGACTGCATCTTCAGCTGCGTCGCATAGCTGGAATTGGGCAGCACTTTGACGCCTCCGCCCCCGGCTGGCATTTTGATTGAGAACTTGGCCGCCTCCTGCACAGTGCGCGGCTTGTAGAGGACGCGCGATGCCGGCTGCTTCTGCTGCTGTTGCTGATATTGTTGTTGCTGCTGCAGCTGATATTGTCGCTGCTGATATTGCTGTTGCTGATACTGTTGCTGATGGTATTGTTGCTGCTGATTTTGTTGATGCTGATATTTCTGTTGCTGATATTGTTGTTGTTGCTGCTGCAACTGCAGCTGTTGCTGTTGTTGGTGTTGCTGCTGTAGCTGCTGCTGCTGCTGGGGTTGGGCGACCGGCTCGGGCACTGGTTCCGGTTCTGGCTCCGGCTCCACCATGGGCAGCGAATTCAGCTCCT